ACATTAGCCACTCTTGTATCATAATAGGAGCAATTTAATTCCCATTCTTCAAAACAACTTTTCAAGCCATCAAGATCCTCTAGTTTAGCAAGAGCTTGAAGAAAAACCCGATAACTCACATTACTAGTTGTTTCGAATGAAGATTTCAGATCATCCCATATGCGATGAACTTCCTCTTGATTATGAAGTGATGCATGAAAGGTTAAAAGAAAATGGTATGCCTCGCGTGAAGGGCGTCCCATCTCGTTTTCAAGCATTTTAAGAGCGGATTTGGCTTTCTCGTGAAGACCCGCCTTGATATAAGCACCAGCAACGTTACTGTAAGTCGTCCAGTTACAACTCTCTTTTTTGTCCCTTGTTATTTCCTCAAAAACCCTCTCTACACCTTCTATATCTCCTAAAATCGAAAAGCTTAGCATCCAGATATTATACGTAAAATTGCTTAAATGGATTTTCCTTTTCTTCATTTCTTCCACCAAAGGTGGAACTTTCTCAGGCTGGTTTAGTCCTATGTATAGGGTCATTATATTGTTAAAAGACAAAGACGTGGTGAAATTCTTGGCTTCGATTTCCTGAAAAAGAGCCAATGCTTTATCTGCCATTTTTAACTTACAATAACAGTTGAGGAGAGCTCCATAAGTATTTCTGGTCTGCAATGGTGGAGAGAGGGCATTGAAGAAACCTTCAGCTGCAGCCACCCCGTGGACCTTTGAGATTAGATCCAAACGCACGGCAAGGTCAGGGTTTGAAAAGTTTACATCTCTCTTGTCCATCCATTCCATTACCTGCGTTACAAAAGCTTAAGTTCAGAAGAAAAGGCACTAGTGATTCTGTATTTATCAGTGTATTCATCTTGAATATGATCATTAACAGTTGGTTTACTAAGAATATGCATACTGAAGAACAGTACATAACTGCTACAAAAATCTAAGATCTCTAAGCCAAAATAGACTTTCATCCGCCCAATTGATGTCCACTTTTCAAACAGACATTTTAATTTCAACACCGAAAAGAGAAGAAAAAGAGACCAAACTACATATTGTTCTACTCATTCAGGCAGTGATTATGGAAGTCAGATGAGATTTATCAAATGTAGATATATGTTTTACCCCTACAACAATGAAGAACATACTAAGGAGTGGCAAGAACCCAATTTTGATGCAATAGTTCGTTAATACAAACAGTAATTTAGAAAAATTTCAATCATACTCCCTGTAAACTTCTATCTCTGATCAATCATTTGGAATAACCTTTCACAGTAAGAATTCATAGACGATGGAAGAATAGGAGATGAGCCCCTAATTTAGATTTCTGAAATAGTTACATTATAGATGTTATAACCCTAACAATCGACACTAAAGCAACTCGATTGATTGTTTTTTTCAGATCAAGCAACTAAAACACATACCTCGAGAGCGTGGTGGTACTTGCCGTACCTGCGGAGTTCTCTGACACATCTCTCTAACTCGATCTTTTTGATGAAATGACCTTCTCTAATATATTGATTTAATGTTTGTGCTGTTGTTCCTCCGGTGGCTCCCAACGCCGACAGCCTTCTGTATAACCGCTTTTCATTTGAGGATTCTTTGGGTGGCGGCGACACAACCTCAGCCACATCATTCGCTTCTTCCACCACCGTACAAAAAGTTCTTAGCAGCGTCGGATTTTCGGCCAACAGTATCCTGCTCCGGCAACGGATAATCATCATCCAATCTCTTGCTTCCGCCGGCCTGTTTGATCGTTTTGGTAGAACCACGACGCTTTGCAGGGAAGGGTTTAACGCTGTGTTTTCCAATTTTGGAAGAAGGGGGGTTTTGGGAATTGGCTTTGATTATTTTTATTTTTATTTAATTTTTATTTTTAAGGGGTGTTTGGGATTGATTATTTTTATTTTTATTTTTATATTTTAAATTGCTTATCAATTTAAGTAATGTTAAATTATAGTTTTATAAAAAGTGTTTGGATTAATTTATTATGATATTAAAATGTAATAAGTTGAAAAATTATTTTTTAATGTTTGATAAATTTTGTTTACATAATAGGAGCAATTTAATTCCCATTCTTCAAAACAACTTTTCAAGCCATCAAGATCATCTAGTTTAGCAAGAGCTTGAAGAAAAACCCGATAANAATAAGTTGAAAAATTATTTTTTAATGTTTGATAAATTTTGTTTATATATATATATATATATATATATATATGTAAAATGAATAAAAATAATATTTTTTTTATATTATTGACTTAGAGGGAGTGTTTAGGATTGTTTATTAACTTATTTGATTTTTTAATATGTGACAGTTTGTTTTTCATCATTTATAATAATATTTTTGACAAAAATTTATATCAATAACATTAATAATTTATAACAAAAAATACTAACTTAAATAACAAAAATTTATACTAATAACATTAATAATTGATAACAAAAATAATAGATTTGTAGAACAAAAAAAATATATTAGATTGTCATTATTAATGTAATATTTTTATAACCAAAATATCAATAACAAAAATAGATCATCATTTATAATATATCTCCATCTGGATCGACTTATTATATTCTTCTGCAATCATATCTCTTACTACACTCATATATAGATCGTCGCTCCTACGACATGAACTTGTAATTTCATATGTTTCGTTATTGCTATCACATCCTTCATTATCAACATCAATACGAGGATTGTATGATTTTTGTTGCACCATGTCAAATGTGTTGTTAAAAGTTAAAACTACCATTCATTCTAATATAATTGTTAATTGCCATTAAGTGATTGTTGTTTTGTACTAAACAAATATGCAATCTGAGATCCATTATATGCTCTTATGCATTAGTCCATATATTGTCACGCAATAAACTGGGTTCTTCATGACTTTGGTGCAGAAAAGAAATAAATTCCTAGTTGTTCCATTATGTAGTTCTAATCTTTGGTTGGGTTTTACTTTGTTTCGTCAATTGATTGTAACTTGAAGGGAGTTGCATCACGGTGGGTTGCTAACAGAGTGAGGGCGGAACATAAAGCAACCTTGATGCGGTAAAGGCTGTCAAAGATTCACATTCTTGAGATTTGTTTATCAAAAAATCCAAAAACCCAAATATAGGTATTTTCAAAGATTCACTGACCCAAATTTCTTAAATATGCAAAATTCATCAAATACTTAACACATTTGATAAATATCAAGTAAAATACTTTAATACCTCAAAATACTCATTTTGGCATGTATATAGTTTTTACAAAACAACTTGAACTCATATTACTGGGTTGGGTTAAACCTAGGTTTCAAACCTATCTTTAGCTTCCAAAATGGTAAAGGCGTTAGATTTCCAAGCTAATCTTCTATATCTACGATGAATAGCTTCTCAGAGATACTTCTTTTACTCCCAAAACAGATCCATACAAACCTTAGTTAAAATCTCAAATCACCCAAAACACTTTAATATGATCAAAACCCAAAATATCGAAGATACATCAAAATGAATGTTCTGGAAGGTTAAAATGAAAGGTTTTGACAATAATAAAGGTTTATAAGAGTTATGATGAACTTACAAATGGGTTTATAAGAAATGACGAAATGAGGCCAACAATGGTGAGAAGATGGTAGGAGAAGATGAAGATGTTGGATTTCAACCCTCAAGACTTGAATCTATAGTTGCCAAGCTCTTAGCTGCTATTGAAGAAATTGATTTGTGAAATAAATATGGATGGCCAAAAGTGATTTGGGATGGGACGACTTGGTGTTTCTAGAACGTAATTTTAGAGAGAGAGAGAGAGAAATGGAGTCCCTCCGTAATATAACTCTATATTAAGTAGGAACCTTTTGATTGGTTGGGAAAAATGGTCAATCACTACTCAACCCAAGGTTATAATCACATACAAAACTCGGGATTTTACATATTTTTATATTTAAAATATGCAGGTGTTACATGTTAGCTCCTGTGCTATCCATCCACTTTAGTCATCTCGTCTTTATTCGTTGGTTCATGTCATCCTCGACCTCGTTGTTGTTTAACTCATGAAACCTATATACTTGAGACTATCTTTTTAGGGCATTATTTGCCCTTCAGTGCCGACTACCACCCCTTCTTCGTTACACTCTCCACCAAATTACACCACATTCGTTCGGTCTTAGAACGACTAATGTGTAAGCCTTGTGACTCCAAAGCAAACCTGCACTGTTCCATCCTCTTAGCCACTCCACTCTGGACTCCGCTTCGAGCAAAGTGTCATTTGCACATAACATACACCATAAAACACTCCTCTATATCATACATGAAAGCTAATATAGAATCAAAGCAAATAGAAAAGGGTTTAGTATCGATATTTGGTGTACAAAAATGTTCCATCTCACTCACTGGTTAACCCCACTTTCTTTAGACACACCCAAATCACGTTCGTGGAAACATTATCATATGCTTCTCTCTAGAAAAATCAACACTGGATGAGCCACAACACCTCAAACCTTTACAAAATTGCAAAACACTCCCTCTTAATTGCAACGACAGGTTGGATAACTTCCACAAAGCTTAAAAAATTCTGTCAAACGCTCCTATTTTTGAAAAAGAACTTGACGATAAAATCCTACAATAACAATACAAAAATAAGCAAGATAATTTACATGACAACCTTGTATAAAAAATATTTTAACTTTGAGTCATCGATCAAACTCACATCTATATGATGTTTACTACGGTTCAATAAGAGTTTGGCTCATCACTTACGCCACATCAACGTATTATAACCGTGTTTCTATTCAAATCATGCAAACACAATTTTTTGATGTTGTCCTTATGAGATATTCTTTTGTGACCATTACATTCGGTGTAATGTATACAGTGGCCATCTCAATATATGTGTGGATCACGTGTCACTCATTAGAAGCATCTAAGTTATTGGAATTCTAACATGCTACGGTACACAAATATTGGCGAAATCAATTTTCTTATTGAGATTCTATATAATTCGATTAAAACATGTCATATGATATATTTGACCCATTTTTTAAGGGTTATTCACATGTAATTAAAAATCGAGCTTATTATATGATATCTTACCATCCCCTCTTCAAGGATTCATCACATGGTATTACAATCATTTTTCTCATGTATCATTTGTATCCAAACCTATGATAAATTACAAGGTAAAATATATCTAATATTTATTAAATGCTTTTTCTTGTCACTAATAAATAAAAGTCAAAAAACCCAATTAAAACCATAACAATTTAATTTAAAAAAATGAATAATAATCATCATAAAAACAAACTTAAACCCTACTTTACATAAATCGTAATATTTATATACAAAGAAATCATCGATCTTATACAATCAAGCTTAATCATTTTTTGTTTAAAAAGCTTGATTTTTTTAACAATAGTTTCGAAAAAAAGGGAATTGCCGACCATCTTTATTATCTAAACAACCTTCAAGATGGCCTCTTTAATGACCACTCAATCAAAGTCCTCCTTTAAAACAAAAAATAAATATCTCGTATCTTAAATAGCTATTTCAACATCATTCTAATTATCCCTGTGCTTTTTCTAAAAGAAACCCATTTGCACCGCTTTTAACACATAAACAATTACCAAACATACAGGTGCATATCTAAAAACATAAAAAAGAACATGGGGTATATATAATTAAGCGAGAATATAATATAATGAAATTAAACGAGTCAATATAAAACAAAACGGTGGTTTTAGTCATATATATATATATATATAGAGAGAGAGAGAGAGAATTATCTTGTACTTATTTCTTATGCTCTTAAGCACGACCATATATAATATAGAAATCACACTTGAAAAAGATGGTGTATAAAATAAGACGGTTGATTTTATCATAAAATATACGCAAACTTATCATCTAACGATTGTTTTGATAAATGAGGAAAGTTAAAAAGATTTTCTTGACTAGTGGGATGAGGATCACATCGGAGCGTTATCCAAGTTCAACTGCCGTTGTGAATGGTGATATCACTTTACACTTGGACGGTGACGAGATTGACGGTGATGGGTTTAAACCGTTATATAGTGTATCCTTTTCCGTTAATGGCGCACGTTAGACCGAAACAAAAACATATGCCCAAAACACACCTCAAACAATTTTATTTGTTTTGTAGTAATTCGAAAGCTTCTTCTCAGTATTGATGGCTGAGTGAAGCCAACGACATCTCCGTCTTATATGCCAAAAAGATTTCACAAATTCTGAATATTTTTATATATTTTTGTTAAAATTACATGTGTTTGCTTCTCTTGTCAACAATTAATTGACTTGTCGGAGCTGCAAATCTGAGAACTCCCGATTTTCAAGCTCCGATTCAGTTGCTATTTCGGCTAATTCAATGGATTATGAGCATTGTTTGTGTTCATAGCAAGTGATCTAGCTGCTCCTTTCACGGAATCTTGTAGATCTGAACCCTTCATGTCCGTCGGTGCCGCTGATGTCTCAACTCATAAAGTCGCTTGCTCTTTCTAACTACACTGGTGCGATTTTATTTCTTGAAATTCTTTTAATTTCTTGTTAATTCCTTCTGTTTTCTAATTCACTTGCGCTTTTTTAGAGATTAGGTTTTTATCTGTAATGTGCAATCCTCACTTGATGTTCTATCGGTTTAGTTGTTATTTCTTAATTTTCCAGTTGATTAAGTTAGGGTATTGGTCTCCAACTGTTCTTAGTTTCAACACTTGAACTTCGTGGTTTAAAACCCTATACCTGGTTGACTGGTTCTTGGTCTACATGGAGGTGAGATGAAATCTTATTGAATGAAATGTGACTGCCGTTTAATGGAAATCAAGTTTTCTAAGCATGTAATCTGCATCTTATGATATAAAGTGTGCTCAATCTCATTGTTATTGATCATTTCACTCATGGAGGTTTGATTCTGTTTCCTTATTCATAATTTCAGGATCAGTAAATAACATCCATTGGTCTTTGCTGAAACATTTGCTTATTCTATGCATTATCATATGCGCAACTGATGCTGATTTCACTGATAATCAAATTGAGGAACAAATTTTATCTCCACCTACTGCACCATTTGCTTCACTTGAAATTCCTGATCTACCCTTGCCAGTTCGCCTTCCATTGTTCCAGAAACAACATAGGAGACGCCTTTCACCCCTTGCTGCACCGAAACTTGTGCTAGCACCAGCTCAACCACCTGACTATGGACCATTGATAACTTCTACCCACCCTCCTTCAAGCTCACATTTGTCAAGACCTTCAATGCGGAAGAGTGAAACTGTGCCTCCTGCTACTGGGCTCACGCCTCCACGGTTAGCAGATATTGCTCCTAGTCAATCTGGTGCCGGAACATTGCCTACTGGTTTAGCCCAGCCACCGTTGTCTCCTCACGCCTCCAGTAAGGCTTTTATTTATTTGTTTATGCTTTCGAAAAGAATCAATACATATACTGTTCTTTGGCACTGCGAAAGCATAGGGGAAAATTCCATGTTTTCATTTTCTTTTAATAAGTTTCTGGTGTATATGTTTGTGTGATATGTTTCTTCTGCTAACATTTGTTTCTGCTTATCTTTGGCAGATTGTTGTGGACCTGAAACAGTTCTGAAACGAGACAGTGAGGGCTGCCACTGTGTTTACCCAATAAAGCTTGACATTCTCCTTTTGAACGTCTCCTCTAACCCAAACTGGAATCTATTCCTACAACAGTTTGCCACTCAACTTGGTCTGAGGGTTGCTCAGATTGAGCTAATCAACTTTTATTTGCTCAGTTTATCTAGGCTTAACATTTCAATGGACATAACTCCACATACAGGAGTCAGTTTTCCTTCCAGGGAAGCATCTAGAATAAACTCTTCACTTTCTACGCACAAGGTTCGTCTAGACCCCAGGCTCGTGGGTGGCTATGAGCTTCTCAACTTAACCTGGTTCAAGCCTGTTGCTCCAGCTCATGGTAATTTTTCGTTTCACTACTTTGAACATGAAGTGTTTTTTTGTACTTGTGCATGTTTAAATTGGCATGAACTTCTATTTCGTTGTGCACTTGTTTGTGTGGGTGCTTGGTTGGTTTTCCATTAATTATCCTGTAGGGATAAAGCTAGCTGTCTGGATTAATCTGTCTGTATATATTGGAAGATATTTTGTTTGGGAGGTTTTTTTTCATCGATGGAAGGAGCGTTTTTTTAATGGAGGGGAAGGTTCGGAGAAAAACTTGTCTTTCTGCATAAAGCTCCCCTAAAAGCTTATCGAATAAGCCACTTTGTATATCATTAAGCCACTACTAAACAGTCTTGTATGGCTGACCGAGTAAGCTGTGAGTCCCATTAAGCTAATTAAGTTGCTAACAAACAACCCTTGGTCTAGTTTCAAAATAATCTGCATGCTTGGCACAATGATATCTTGTTAGGAAATCATAAAGAATCAATGAGAGGTGGAGGTGTAACTTGTAAGTAACAAACTAGATCTTGTGGGATCATATTGAATATTTGACTTCTCTTATTAAGTTTTGATTTTTGGAATAAATCTTTGTGGGAGGTTTACATCTGATGTAGAAATAAGGTCTAAAGGTCTTGATACCTTCCTTTTTCCTCTACAATGCTACTATAAAGCTATTGGCATGTTTTTTTCTTCTGTTTTTCCCTCATAATTTTGCATTTTAAAACTCTCATGGTTACAATATATGTGCAGCACCTCGAATTGCTACATCACCCACCAAAGCACCTCCTTCCACGTCTTCATCTCCAACATCAGTGAATACATCTGGTCGTGGAAAACACCTCAGCTTGATTCTTGTTGTCGGCATTGGTGTTGGTATCCTTTCTGTCGCTGTAATTTGCGTGCTTATAATTTGTTCATGTGCTTCTCGCCGCCATAAGCCAGAAGCATCACCAAAAGAAACTGGTATGAGTTTATGCTAATTACGTATCTCATCTTCATTGTACTAATCTCTCATCTCTACTTGTATTTTCTTTTGAAACGGAAAACCAACTGACACACCCATGAGCTGAATGGGTTATATATTTGGCTTCTTTAAAGCCGTCCATGTTTTTGTTTTTTCAGTTTCTTACCCACTTTACCTTCTCATCTTCTTGCAAACAGCTAAGCCAAGGACTGTGGAAGCTCTTCCATCTGGAGGATCATTTCCGCATCCTACTAGTACGCGATTTCTTGCATATGAAGAACTAAAAGAAGCAACAAATAACTTTCAACATTCTAGTATACTTGGTGAGGGTGGGTTTGGAAGAGTTTTCAAAGGTGTCTTACACGATGGTACAGAAGTGGCAATAAAGAGGCTTTCTAGTGGAGGCCAACAAGGTGATAAGGAATTTTTGGTAGAAGTTGAGATGCTTAGTAGGTTGCATCATCGTAACCTTGTGAAACTTGTTGGTTACTATAGCAACCGTGACAATTCAGAAAACCTCCTTTGTTACGAACTTGTTCCAAATGGAAGTTTAGAGGCTTGGCTCCATGGTAAGTCATTCTTATTTCTTAACTACACACATCATTTTATAATAAAATCTTGAACCGCAGCTGGGATCCGGGCATCATTCAAAAACTTGACAGTAAAATTTCTCCCCCATAATACTTTGTGTTAATGGGTAGTCTTGTCTTTTTACAGGCCCACTAGGGGTTAACTGTCCTTTGGATTGGGATACCAGAATGAAGATAGCCCTTGATGCTGCAAGAGGACTGGCATATCTTCATGAGGATTCACAGCCTTGCGTGATTCACAGAGATTTTAAGGCCTCTAATATCTTACTCGAGAACAACTTCAATGCTAAAGTTGCAGACTTTGGTCTAGCTAAACAGGCCCCAGAAGGCAGAGCAACTTATTTGTCGACTCGTGTTATGGGTACATTTGGGTTAGTACCTTCATTTACTTCTTTTCAGAACTAAACCAATTACGTAGCACTAAGATGATATGACACTTTTTGGTTATATAATAAAGTAATAACCTTTTAACATGTAATTTGTTCACAAACTCGTCTACAGATATGTGGCTCCTGAATATGCCATGACTGGGCATCTGTTGGTGAAGAGTGATGTCTACAGCTATGGGGTGGTCCTGCTTGAATTATTGACTGGAAGGAAGCCTGTCGATATGAGCCAACCATCAGGACAGGAGAACCTTGTGTCTTGGGTGAGTCATATATCATCTTACGGGTTGTTTGGTTGGTTTCTATTAGGTCCTATATGGATAAAGCTGTGTGTGTGGATTAATTTGTTTTATAGATTAGAAAGGTTTTTGTTTTGGAGGGTTTTTTCATAGATAAAATAAGCGTGTTTTCTTTAATTGCGAGGGACAAGATTGAAAAAAACTTGCTTTATGTATAAAGCCCTCCCTAGAAGCTTACTGGATAAGCCACTTTCTATATCATGAATAAACTGTGAGTCCCCTTAAGCTCATTAAGCTGCTAACTGAAATACAAATGTTGGTTAAACAGGCAAGGCCAATCCTAAGAGATAAGGACCGTTTGGAAGAACTTGCGGATCCAAAGCTTGGGGGGAAATACCCGATTGAAGATTTGGCACGAGTTTGTACAATTGCAGCAGCTTGTGTATCACCTGAAGCAAGTCAACGGCCAACGATGGGGGAAGTTGTACAGTCGTTGAAAATGGTGCAGCGTGTAACAGAGTATCAAGACTCGACAGCAACAGCAGCAGCAGCTACAAATGCCCGACCCAGCCAGAAGCAATCATCGACCACTTTTGAATCAGATGGGACATCTTCTATTTTCTCATCGGGTCCTTATTCTGGTCTAAGTGCCTTTGATCATGATAATATATCGCGTACAGCTCTGTTTTCAGAAGATCTTCATGAAGGAAGATGATTGCTTGCCTACTTTCTTCTTCATCTTTTCCTGAAAAGATTTTTGCAACTGGAAATTGGTCAATTTGCAGCCAGCTTGAGGCAGTGGCAAATGGTGAAGCTTTTACGGGCTTCCTGGCGAAAGATGAAGCCTCCAGATCTGTTACAGAAAAACAGAAAAGAAGAAAGCGTCCGCGAGTTTTAGTATTCTCCGAAAGCATTGTACAGTAGCTACTATTGTTTAAGGCGTTTCCTCGTTCCAAGAATTATTTTTCTCCTTTCTGTATTTTTAACAATCATATCAATTGTCAATGATCATGAAAAAAAACCAAAATCTTATTTCTTTTCAGTTCTACCTGACATATATGTTATTAAGAATACAGCGTTTTAACCACAAGGGTGGTGCCTGATTGGTTTGAGCTTGGCTCCAAAGGTCAAAAATACCAGGTTCAAATCTAAGGAGAAATAAAAATACTCTTGTGGCACGGAGGTTCAAATGCGGTGACTCCGGACTATCTGCGAAGCAGGTGGTTGCCCTAGGATTAATCGACTCGCATAGCGGGTTGGATATTCAGGTTAATAAAAAAAAAATATATACAGCTGTTATTTAACTAATTGAAAACTGTAACGGGAATCGGAAGTTAGGACAGTCTGCTGACATTTTCATGGAATTCCATTTTATAATAAAAGAGAAATTACATTTAACAGGTCACCTGATGTTGCTGTGGTGTAGTGGTTATCACGTCAGTCTTACACACTGAAGGTCTCCAGTTCGATCCTGGGCAGCAACAAATTAAACCTTTTTTCATGTGCAAAGAAAATAGGAATATTTTTTATATTATTACTTAAACCAAACCATTTAAATTCGAATATATTAAAAACTAAGAAGTAAAACACTAAAATTGTAATAAAAATGATATATCATGTTACAAAAACCGAGCATTAGACGATAACATGCTATAGGCCTAACAATGATATGACATTTATGAACCACGACCATCGTTGCCCGATGAGCCTTTTAGAACACGGAATCCATGGCTTGCATGAACGATGAATCCATTCCCCTCCTTTCTATAGGTTTTCCATGGCAAATTGAGGCCAAGGGAATCAAGAATCGTAGCCTCTATTTTACTTTCTGTCATCGTCCCTTTGGATCAACAATCTGCGAGAAGATGCCATTAGCATCGTCCTCATCCTCGACGTCGAGATTTAGAGTGTTGAGATGCATCGCGATCATATCATTCCGATCAATCGGCACTTCCCCCATCCCACCTCCCAATGACTCCAATTTCGTATGATTTCTGGTTCCCTCTTCCCCATTCGCTCCCATCCGAAGCACATATTCCAAAGTCCACAATATATCCCCCATTGATGGTCGGTCCAACCCGTGGTCCGACAAACACCGTAACGCACAATCCGTAAACTTCTTCATCTCCTCGGGTGTAATCTGCCCTTTTAAATGCGGATCCACCATCTCCTCCAATGTCCCCTTCCTCCCACATTGCAATGCGTAATCCGCTAAACTCACTTGTTCCTTCGGAAGATTCGGATTCAAAGCAGGCCGAGCACACAACACCTCAAACAGTACAACCCCAAATGAATAAACATCCGACTTCTCCGTCAACTGTTGCCGCCGGAAATATTCCGGATCCAGATACCCAAAACTACCCTTCACCACGGTGCTGACATGGTTTTGGTTCATGTTTGGACCCGTTTTAGATAGCCCGAAATCAGAAACCTTAGCGACCCAATTATCGTCGCAAAGAATGTTGGTGGTCTTAACGTCTCGATGGATGATCGTGTATTTCGCTCCGGTGTGAAGGTAGTGAAGTCCTTTCGAAGCTCCGATCAAGATATCTAATCTTTGCCTCCATGAAAGTGTAATCTTGTTCCCTTTATAAAGATGTTCACGAAGTGTTCCTTTTCCCATATAATCATAAACCAACACCATTTCATTACCTTCTTCGCAGAACCCGATGAGCGATACCAAATGCCGATGTCTCAACTTCGATAACATCTCGATCTCCGTCACGAACTCGTTAACTCCTTGCTCGGAAGACGGGTTCGATCTCTTGATTGCTACCTTTGTATTACCATCGACCACGCCTTTATAGACCTTCCCAAAACCTCCAACTCCGATCACGTTAGACTCGTCGAAGCTATTCGTCGCATTTTTTATCTCCAACAACGAGAAATACCGGCAATTGCAGACGGCATCCGATGACAGATTACTACCACCATGACTCCTCCCGGATATCGTTGATTTGCTGGTGGAAGAAGCACCGTAGACCGGTAACCAACTAGTTGCACCGGAGTCGGGTCCTGGGACTCTTCTTCTTTTACGAATCATGAACAGAACCAACGCTGCAACCCCGATCGTGGCGGCTCCACCGACCGCACCACCAACGACGGCATTCGTGATCGAACTGTTATCGGGAGCCCGATTAGCAATCAACTGTTTCTGCATCAATTTCGACGGGACCGGATTCAGTCCGGCGAGGTTCGATTGCGAATCACTGAGCTTAAAAATCTCTAATCCATTAAGAAGGACATCATAGAATTCAGGCTTCAAATCAATATTGGTATGCAGAGTCACCCACAATTCTTCATCTCCAGGTTTGTCGCCTGAAAAAACCGCATAATCTTTTCTCGTCGGTATCCCTTTGCCGCCGGTCCAAGCAATCACGTCGGCGGTGGCGAATGCGGTTTGATTGTTCAACATGATCTCAAACACCCTCTGGTTAGCTTTCTCAAGTTGACATTCACAAAAATGAAACCTCACAAGATAAGTGAAATTAGCATCAACCTGAAAAACCCACGTCACGTTGCTTTGCTTATTGACATTAGGATCGGGTCCTTGAGTTCTCGCCGTCCGGTAAACGTCCGCCGGAGCTGTGGCCTCCGGCAAATCATTATACTCAATTGTAACATTTCCGATGTGGGTGATCGTACCGGCACCAAACATATAAGGTGTATCATCGTACCAACTTCTCATCAACCCACCGGAATCATTCGTCGGAGGAATAAACTGCCCACCGACATTCAGTCTGAACATATTCTGCATGTTTGATGATACCCCATCGATGGTTCCGGCGTCCTCCGCCACCCCAACCAACGCCGCTTGATCATCGAACAATTCCGGTTCCGTTATCAACTCAATTCCATTAACGAACGCAAACGATTTACCAGCCGGCTTGAAGGTAAGGGTGATGGAATCGGAATCAAAAGCCGCCAGCGAGTATTCTTTGATGAGATAGGCTTGTGAAAGAGCTTCAGCGGTTATGAAAGCACTAAAGTTGTTCAATAGCGTGATGGCACCTGTAGATACGACGGAATACGAATCCGAGACGTTGTAATCTGGGTAATTTGATGGGTAGAAATGGAGTCGAATGATATAGCGGCTGGTGGAGTTGACGTCAAATTTATAAGAGGTTTCGCCGTTAAAGATTCTGGCGGTCATGTACGGTACATCGGAAGTTAGCGACGGTTCGTGGGTTAGGGCGGTTGAGGAAACGGATTTATGGGCGGCGACAAGGTATTTGTTATCTGATTCCCATCTTCGATCATCAGCATCGTTGGCGGCGTCTTTTGACCCGCAGTTTAAAGCTAATGGAGGTGGGACGGCGGAGGACGGCGGAAGGAAGGCGAGGAAATCGGAAAGAAGATATAGATGAATAATCCGGCAAATGAAACTAGATTTCATGATAAAGAAACCAAGAAAAGATTTTTAAATCAATGGAAGATGTTTGATTAGCAAAAAGAACCGTATCTTGTCGGCCATGGATGCCAAATCTTTGTGTTTTGGTTGTTAGGATCAGAGAATGAATTAGAGTGAAAATCGCACCCATTGCTAATCATTTATTTATTTATTAATTCTTTTATTTTATTTTATTATTGAATAAAAGTATGAATATATAAACCAAGAAAATAGATAAATTATTAAAAGTCAAACCAAAATCCAATATTGCTTTCTCCTAAATTGTAACTTAAATGTATAACCATAGTGTTAGCTACAACGGATAAAATTATGTCTTTTTTAATCCATTTAACAGATAAAATTATGTCTTTTTTATCCATTTAATTGGTGTTAACAACACCAGATAAATGGATAAAAAAATAAAATAAAAAAAGACAATAATTAAAAATGTATGATTTACATGAAAATAAGGATTTTGAGGAGTAATGGAGGGAGCTGAATAGCAGCACTTTTTGAGTCAGCTGATTGTGTGGGTGGATATTCCAATGTAAGACTATTGCAGCTCAACTCTTACTCTTTCTCTTTCTCTTTCTCTTTCTCTTTTTATCCACAATCCCTCAAACCCTACTCACCTCCTTCCTTATCTTGGTGATGGCCTCTTCCACACCACCACCAACCTTAACCACCTCCAAACCATATCAGAACCACCATATCCAAGGTATCCAGAACCACCACCGTCGAACCCACAATGGTCATAATCCCCACCACCCATCTCCCAAGGTCTCTCTTCATCCTCCCACACCAAGAAACCCCACCGCAAACAAACCCCCAGTTCCCACCACCGCCGCACCCGCTGCCTCCTCATCTCTCCACCATCGGAACCCTAATTTCGCCCCTCTTTCCGCCTCAAAGTCAGAACTTGCTGCCGATTTCTCGGGTCGGAGGTCAACCCGGTTTGTTTCCAAGATGCATTTTGGCCGTCCGAAAGCCGCTGCCTCCAGTAGGCATTCGGTTTTAGCCGAAGATGCTCTCCACCAACTTATCCGATGTAGCGGCGATGATCGATTGGTTGACAGTGTTTTACTCGGTTTTCAACCCAAGCTATGTGGGTCTGATGATTACAACTTCTTGTTCAGAGAATTGGGCAATAGAAATGAATGGTCGATGGCGATCCAATGCTTTGAATTCGCAGTTAGTCGCGAAAGAAGACGAACAGAACAAGGTAAATTAGCTAGTTCTGTGATTAGTGTTCTTGGTAGATTAGGGAAAGTCGATTTAGCCAAGAAAGTTTTCGAAACAGCTGTTACTGATGGCTATGGAAACACAGTTTATGCTTATTCTGCTTTAATTAGTGCTTATGCCAAGAGTGGATTATCTGATGATGCCTCTAGAGTCTTTGAGACCATGAAACTTTCTGGGTTGAAGCCAAATCTTGTTACTTATAATGCATTAATTGATGCTTGTGGTAAAGGGGGTGCTGATTTCAAAAGGGCTTCTGAAATTTTCGATGATATGTTGAGCAACGGCTTTCAACCCGATCGAATTACTTACAATTCGCTTCTTGCCGTTTGTAGTGGTGGGGGTTTATGGGAGACTGCGATGAATTTGTTTAATGAGATGAGTTATAGAGGGATTGATCCAGATATATATACTTATAATACGCTTTTGGATGTTGCTTCTAGTGGTGGACATATGGATTCTGCTTTTCAAATAATGGCAGAAATGCCAACGAAGAACATAATGCCTAATGAGGTGACTTATAGTACCGTGATTCGCGGGTGTGCAAGATCCGGGAGGTTGGATCAGGCGTTAAGTTTAGTCAGCGAGATGAAATATGCTGGCATTCGTCTTGATAGGGTGTCGTATAACAATCTGCTTGCTATTTATGCTAGTTTAGGTAGATTTGAGGAGGCTCTAAATGTGGTCAAGGAGATGGAAAGTACTGGCTTTAGAAAAGATGTTGTCACTTATAATGCACTTCTTGATGGGTTCGGGAAGCAAGGGAGATACGATAAGGTTAAAGAGTTGTTCAAAAGGATGAAAACGGAGAAGGTTCCCGCTAATCTATTAACTTACTCGACACTAATTAGTGTTTATCTGAAAGGTGGTTTGTATCAAGAAGCTACCGAGATGTACAAGGAATTTAAGCACGAAGGTTTGAAGGCGGACGTTGTTTTCTATAGTGAAATTATTGATTCCTTGTGTAAAAAGGGGTTTGTGGAATCTTCTGCTTTATTACTTGATGAGATGACTAAAAAAGGGATTCAACCAAATGTTGTCACCTACAATTCCATCATTAATGCTTTTGGTCAGTCGACAGATACGGGATTTTCGATTGAAAATGAACAAGAGATCAAGTGTTTACCTTCCATGATTCCCGAAGGAGATGCTGACAAGAAGCTTGATAACAGAGATGAAGATAGGATCATCAAGGTTTTCGAGCAGTTAGCTGCTGGAAAGTTGAGTGTTGTAGAAAAGGCGAGTAAGGGTAGAAAGGAGATTATCTGCGTGTTGGGAGTTTTCCGCAAGATGCATGAGCTGGAAATTAAACCAAACGTGGTGACGTTTTCGGCTATTCTGAACGCTTGCAGGTTTGCACTTACCCATGTAATTCAGTAATGCACTCACTAATAATATGCCTACAAGAAAAAGGAACATGATTTTTTTCGTTATTTCCAAAGAAAAATCATAAACTGATTACAATATGTTTCAATGGAACGTTGAGAGTCCCATGTCAAGTGCAAAAACTAACATAAAAGTTGAAGTATGTACACGTAGAGGCAGGTTCAAATAAGAACCGTAAATGTTCATGCTTTATTCATTGATAAATGTCTTAATAGATATCCATGATGAAAATTATTCTAATAAAATACATATTCATGATGAATGATATGATATTCATGATTATTTAGGGTTATTCATGATGAATAATACATGAAATAGTTGGTTCTCAAGTTCTAAAAATATTTGTGGTTCTCATTTGAACTTTCCAGGGTAGATGCATGTATGCATACATGTACACACACATGGATGTATATATATGTGTGTACATACATACAAATCCCCTTTTGGAAGCTTGGTTATTGGTTTAGACTAATTTGGGCTTAGACATCAATGAAGATGAGAAACAAAATATCAGGAACTAGTTATGATTATGTTACTGTTGGAATATAATATTTCTGGTGATGTGTAAAACCGTTAAAAGTCAGTTGAATTGGGTATATGTTTGCAGCCGTTGCAGTTCGTTTGAAGAAGCTTCTTTGCTGTTGGAAGAACTACGTTTATTCGACAATCAAGTCTACGGAGTGGCACATGGCCTTCTGATGGGCTATCGAGAAAATGTATGGGTCCATGCTCTCACCCTTTTCGATGAAGTCAAACGGATGGACTCTTCAACTGCATCCGCCTTCTATAACGCTTTGACCGACATGCTGTGGCATTTTGGACAGGTAACAATGATATTAGAGCACATTTTAGACGCAAAAAATGCACATTTTCATAAAACCATTAACCACCAAAATAGAAGTTTGCAAATTTCACCTGTTAAGTATACACAATTTCAGAAACGAGGAGCCCAGTTGGTCGTTCTTGAAGGGAAACGCAGACAAGTATGGGAGAACACATGGTCTGATTCTTGTTTAGATTTACATCTGATGTCTTCTGGTGCGGCCCGAGCCATGGTTCATGCCTGGTTGCTAAATATATGTTCAATTGTTTATGAAGGTCACGAGTTGCCAAGTTTATTGAGGTGTGTTTAGGGTTTACATCATCTTGAATATTTCCGATATCTTCAAGATTTTGACACATTTCCATTGTTGATTCAGTATTTTAACAGGATGGGGTAAACACAGCAAAGTAGTCGGTGATTGTGCGCTTAAGAGAGCCATCGAAGCGCTTCTCAGCGGCATGGGATCGCCATTTAGGGTTGCGACATCAAACATCGGTCGGTTCATATCACCTGGTCATATGGTGGCTGCTTGGATGAGAGAATCAACCAGCATCCCAAATTTGCTCATTCTACAAGATGATAGAGTTTACCCTGAAACCCCAAGGTTGAATCATCATCTGCAACCAGTTTCTTTGTAGTTTTTGTTTGTATTTCTGGCCCTTTTCACCTTTCAGATGGTAGTTTTGTTTGTGTTAGATAGGAAAGTGGAATGGGACAGTTGAAAGTTGGTAAAATCAACCAACCTTTTATCCATGTAAATTTAACTTAAAACAGTAAATATGCTTTGATTGTCAGTGACCCATCTTCTAGAAATGCATTTTTGTTTTATTCAGTGTTGTTCCGGTCTGATACCATGTCGGACCAGATCAAACATGGGACGACAGATTTTTGTACGTGACAACTTTGTGGCTAAGGGGATGTTTACCTAAATGCTTTTTTCACTATCAGTTATTACTTACCTTATTGGGTAAGATTTTAGTTCATCAAAATGACATGGTATATAACAATTTACGTAGTAAATGCTAACAAGGTAAGAGTTGTCATCTTTATTTATCGAGAGTAAGACTCTCGGTTTTTACCGTTGAAGATTTTTGGTCATTTACATGTTAATCTATTGAGGTAAATGATCTGGTAAGGCAACATTAATCACAACAAAACTAGCGAATTAGGTATTATTTGCAGCCAACGTCTCCATCTTCTTGGCCAAAAACCTTCATAACTCCTAATTAATTTCTGTTATATATCGTAATTAATTAAATCCATTTTGGAATATGTAAAGTATATGTAGCAAGTGTTTAAACACAAGGCATGTCTATTTCCACTTTGTTATAACATAAAATCATAGACTTGGGATCATGTAAGACAAACTTGTTTTCCTGAGACACACTTTTTACACTTGAAACTTCACAGGTAAACACTGTACCTTCACAGTGTTTTTGCTATGTAAGTTTGCATTTTTTTACCTTTACAATATTTTGTTGTGAAATTTTAAGTGTAAAAATTGCGTTTCACGTGTCTCACGAAAACAGTCTTATCTCACGAAAACCCAACCCTAAAATGATAATATATATATATATATATATGTATATATTATATGTATATTACAGATTCTGTTCTTAAAACATTATCTATTACAAAAACAAAAAGAAAGTTGTCGTTTGCATTTTGTATTGGTCCCATGACTAAAATGCCGTCCAACTTGTCTGTGCCCAATTATTTGTTTTTGCCATTTCTCTCGTTTCTAACAATTTTATTGAATATATTCCTCTTATTCATGCTAAAACATCAACAGTTTACTACAAATTTCATTCCAGAAATCTTGTGCTACATATCGAAAGGCAACCGTAAATCAAATCGAAAGGCAAACGTGGTAACATATGAGGTTCGGATGCCTATATGTTTATCGTGGACTTGATGCAAAACCAATTACACACCCTGGGTCTAGAAACTCAATCCGTCGCTGATCTGTGAGGGATCATCGAGGGAGTCAGTTTATGGACAATCCTTTGCTTATTTTTTGGCCATTTTTTTAATTAATAAGTACAAGTTTAATTAATAATTACAATTTTAATTACTTATTAATTTTTAATTATTGATTATTAAAAATTTTCAATTATTTATTATTTATTAAAATATTACAAAAATTAATTAATAAAACCGAATAAAGCCCATTTGGCCCAATAAAACCGAATAAAGTCATTAAAGTCCATTAAACCGAATAAAGTCCAATAAAACTAAATAAAGCTCATTAAGACCCGATAAAGTCAATAAAGTCCGGTAAGTGAATTAAAGCCTAATAAAATGGGATAAGATCTAATAAAACCGAATAAAGCCCATTAGGCCCAATAAAACTTAATAAAATCCAATAAAATGGATTAAGACCCAATAAACAAAGGGAAAAAAAACAAATGAACCAAAACTGTAATTTACTATTAACAAATAATAATTAGAATACATTTAAAGTTACTAATTAAAAAATGAAGCTTGAAAGCTCATTTTCATAAGAAAAAAAACAAGGAATACATGGCAACCAAAGGGGGCTTGGCCAATGGCCATACCCCATCTGATAACGTTTTGCACATTCTATTTGGTAAAATTAATTTAATATAAATTAGTATTTTCCAATTAATTAATAATATTCTGGTTCATATATATATATATATATATATATATATATATATATATATATATATATATATAACAAGTAGATGGAAACGAATGAACCCATCCTCCATAACCCATACCATACCCTACGACTGGCCCTATAAGCTTAACCCATCTTCCCCGATATTGTCTCTTTCACTCTCAACCTACAAACAACTCCTCAACCTCACATCTAAACCACCGATTAACATATTTTCGTAAGTACACAATGTTCATTGTCTGTTAATATAAAAAAAATGGAATAACCAAGCGAACTTTTGTGAAGATATGTGAAAATTGCTCAAATATTAATAAACATAATCACATTGTTCATAAGTGAACTCATATCCATACATGGATGAAATGCTCATGTGGTACTAATTGAACCCAAACGCCATTAGGATATATATATTTTTGGGAAAGGTGAGTAATTAACAACTAATTAACATGCATGTTTAAATATTATTTAATAAATTCTTATCAATTAATAAATAAGGTTTAGGATCAATTAGTATCTATCAAGTTTAACATAATGATTATGTTTAATTAACATTCAATGGTCACAATTTAAGGTGTATATATATATATATATGTTGGGGTCCCATGGTACACAGAAATCACTTTGACAGCTCAAGCCTACATGCACCCATGTTCGATCTTGCAGGGAACGCCATGTATATGTTGTTTGCTTCATTCATCATATATGATCCAATGGAACGTACCATTGAGTACGATTCAAGCAACTTAATTAATCATTATTGCTTGCTTAGTAATCAACACTGATCTAATCCATGATGCATCATATACATGTTAATTTGGTGGTTTTCAAATGATAATGAATGACCTACAATACATACATATATGTGGTCCGGTTTAAAGGGAAACCATAAGAAATAAAAAATTGAGGAATATCTCGGTAACTATTCATTTGGACGGTATGTACATGTGTCTACAAGTAATTTGTAAGCAATTTGTCCCGTATGCACAAGTGCATACACATGCATAGAAACCAAGAAACAATTTCAATTACTTTTATGCATATGTACATATATCACAGATGAATGACTACCAGTGTGTTTCTTAATATTTTCATTTTTTTTGGAGGTTTTCCCTTAATCTCCCCCCCTCTCTCTCTCTCTCTCTCTCTCTCTCTATATATATATATATATATACAGGACCGGTCCTAAGATTTTTGATGCCCCGTGCGAAAGTAATAAAAAATGCCCCTAAACCTATTTTTTAAACAATGAAACATGCGATTTTTTAAAGAGTTTAAAACCTATTCAAGCTAAGTATATCATCCCCATGTTGATTTTTATTGATTATTTAAAAAAAATACAATGGAGTGACATAAAAACCAAAACCCCGAATACGTAATATAAAAAGATAAAAGGATAAATCTTAGATTAAGGTCGTGCTTCCTTCTTTTTCAGTTTTCCTTTTTCTAAATTGAAATTAGCAAAATAGAAATTTTATTTCAATATATGGGACTTAAAAGACAAAGAAAACTATAATTAGTTTTTACATAAAATAGTAAATTACATCCAAATTACTATCGTAGTAAGCAAAGAGTAAAACTCAAAAGTTACAGGTTTAAAGACTAAAGACTAAGGGTCTATATGTTAGCAACTTAATAAGTTTAATGGAACTAACAACTATTTCGTTCAACTATGCATGATTGTTTTGTAGTGGTTTAATGATATAGAAAGTGACTTATCCAGTAAGCTTCTAGGGGGTGTTTACATAAAAAGCTACGTTTTTTTTCCAAACATTTTCCTTCCAACTAAAAAAATGCTCCTTACATCTGCAAAAACTCTCTCAAACAAAACTTTTCTAAATTATACAGACAGATTAATTCATCTAAACAACTTTATTCATACACACAACTTTATACAAACAAAAACTTTTCCAACTTTTTCCAACAATGTGCATTCAGTATTCATGACTAAGGCCTTCGACCTATTTTTATAGTTAAAACTCAGTTGTCCAATTCTCAAATTATTAAACCCAAAACTAGTAATAAATGACAACTCGATGCCCCTTTTGGCTTTGATGCCCTGTGCGGCCGCACGGGCTGCATGTGGCCAGGGCCGGCCCTGTATATATATATATATATATATATATATATATATATATATATATATATATATATATGGAGGTTAAAACGAAAACATAACCATTTTAGGAGGACACGAAAACACCTAAACATGCAACCATCACATACTATAATATTGTACATAGGGATGAAATAATGTGTTGGCAACTTGGCCTACAACTAGGTTGTGGCTAAGGTCACCTGTGTCGATCATGTATGCATCACCAGTTAGTTATCAACTATGATGGTTGTTTATTTAAGTGTTCTCACATTCTCGTAAAATAGTATCATTCTTATTTGAGCACTTTATATATATATATATATATATATATATATATATATATCACACAACAATAATATTACTTCAAAAATTATAAGTTCAGATCTCTCTCTCTCTCTCTGTATATATATATATATATATATATATATATATAAATATATATTATATGTGAGAAACTTAATTATCAAGGAACAAGAAGGATAGGTAAAATTAATATTAGCATATGACTAAATTTGGACCATTTAACTTGATATTTCCACATTGACTAGACACGAACTTATTTTTATGTTAAAACCTCCATTCGATTCTCATATACTCTTTTAAAGAGTAATCTAATCGGTTTTTACGTGATCCATAGATCTATATAGCGGTTCAACTCAACATATATATATATATATATATATATATATATATATATATATGCATGCCTAATTAATATTTGATGTAAAGACAGATGCATGCATGATGAGTAGTGTGTATATAGCATGCATGCATGATGTTTGGAAGTAGTGTATAACATGCATGCATGTCACTTATATCGCAATCGTGGTGGCATGCTATTAACCATTTTTCTTCCGAGACATATACTGAACATGTTAGAACATTCAACCTAGACACTATTCATCATGACATACAGTGTATACGTATATATACATATATGTATATATTATATTCATGTTTGGGAACATGGAGCTAACCACCGTGTTGCATATGCTGAATTGAGCTGTATTTGGCTAGCTAGGCATATGAATATATATACATATATATATATATATATATCCATTTTCAGATTATATATATGTGCAATGAATTTGGAGAAGAATAATCCAGGGTGTTCTGAAAACACAAGTTTCTTTTTTGCCTGCTTTCTTTAATTAATAAAAATAAAAAAGAATCATTTCGGTCCATGTGCATTATTCTCCACTCCAGAACATGCTTCCCAAAACAACCCTAAATCATCCACAAATTTTTATATACTTTGTGGCTTATTTTATAACTATAATTATAAACTTAACAACCACCGGTTTTAAGATTTTTTTTTTTTTGTCTAAAAAAGACTAATCTTAATGAAAACTAAACCCTAGCTTAATATAGATGAATATGATGGCATTTCTTTCCAATTCTTTTTCTCATAATGAAACGTTATCCGAAAAAAGAATTCAAATATTATGATTAAACTCAAATTTCGTAACACGTATAAATAGTTATAATTATGATTAATTAATTTTATTATTGTAATTGAAAACTGATTTTTGAATCTCAGCAATAATTGTGGGAAAAGGTTCCAATATAGTGTTATATATAAAAAGAGAAAACGTTAAAAAATTCCCAACCTTAGGTCTATACGGGTACACGTATCACTTGAGCATTCTTAATATAACATTATCCGCAAAATGCTTAGTTTACCCACCTTACAAAACACATATAAAATGGCACCACTGTATTCAATCCGTTCATAATTGAGTTGATTATTTGGTGAAATAAAGAAAAAGAAAAGCAAAGCTCAGAATTCTATCCAGTTTCTACAGAAACCAAACTGTTTGAAGGCCAAGTTTCTTGAAAGGAATCATGGGTGATCAAGATCTCTCACAAACACTTGGTGATTTATTAGAGATCAAAGGCAAATACATGAACAGTTCATCAAGAAATCTTTTATGGAAGAAAGTGATGGAAGCTCAAGCCAAGAGATCAACATGGTTAGGGAGTTTGAACCAGAAGTTGATCACTAACATTCAAGCCATCAAAGCATCTGGAGGAGGAAGAGGCCAACAGCATCATTCAAACTTAGCCATAATGAAAACCAGAAGAAATCCCACCAGAAATAATGCTCTAAAGATGATAAAGAGGAGAAGACTGCGAAGGGTCGGTCAAGAAGGTTCTAGAAGGGCTACCACGATGGCGATCGAGAGGAAGGTTAGAACCCTAAAGAAACTGATCCCAAAAGGGGAGTCTACAATAGGTCTGGATGGGCTGTTTAGAGAGACAGCTGAATACATATCGAATTTACAAATGAGAGTAAGAATCATGCAGGCTGTGGTAGATGCATTGTCCAATTCTGAATGAGACCGATCATATCGATTGCTCATTCCATTGATTTATGAGATTATAATAAACATGATATATGATCATTATATGATTTTCTATGGTTAATTAATTACAGATTCATACTGGTTTAGTTTCATGTTAAATTAGTGGTTTTTATCTTCTGTTATTCTTTCCTCTTTTCTTTGGGAGGTTGCGACTTGTGATAGAGAGATAGTCAAAGTCAAGTTCATACGAGAATAATAACCGAATAAGAGAAAAAGTAAAACGGTCAAATTACATGTGATTTTACACTAAAATCACATGTGATTCACACGATTTTTGCGGTGACTCACCCCCTTGCTTAGATTGTTAGTATAAAATCACATTTAATCATGGACAAACCCGGATTTTTTTTCTTCAAACGATGACATTGTTTGACTATAAGAAACAAATATCGAGATATTTTTTGCAACATCATAATTAGTGTGTCGGTTAGTTCATTACTTTTCATATCTAAGGTCTTGTGTTCAAGTGTTTTATTGCAAGTTTTTTTCAAATTCGTAATAAATTTGAAGTTAAAAGCTAAAACTAAGAAAATGACACCAACGAAATTCAAACTTGGGTTTAGGGTGGAAGAAAAGTTTTGCAACCAACTCTACCAAGGAAAACTTGTGTCCTTATTGTAGTTTAAAAATATATACTATACGGTGGCATACAACAAATCGATACAGTTGCACCTTTCATGAAACTAAATTTCGTTTACTTTTCGATAGAGGAATAATACGGTGCCACGTGCCACCGGTGGCACCGGTGGGTTCGTTTATGCATGTGATTTTGTACGTGATTTGACTGTTTTCGTGTTATCTTATTTGGTTACTTTTTTCATTTGAACCCCCCCTCTCTCTCTCTCTCTCTCTATATATATATATATATATATGTGTGTGTGTGTACAAACATGGAACTCCATTTTGATTATTTTCCAAAAGAAGAGAATGAAAATTCCAGCATATATGAAGAAAAATGTTGCAAATCTAAGTGACATGAGACTTCAAAACGTTAATGGACAAGGTTACTAACCTTCCTTCGGTAAGCGGTCACTCGAAGTTTGTGCTCAAAACTTTGTGGGTAAGTTAAGACATCATTGACGGATTACCAAATGTCTCTTTCAACGATGAATCACCAAGAACCTTTATGGAACCAAAGAATATCGGACAACCATTTCAATGATGGATTACTGAATGCCACATTCAGTGTGGGATTTCGGAAGGCCACATTCATCAAAATATCACCGACTAATCATGGAAAAAAATCGTAGTAAAAGAATTGAAAAACAAGATATAATATAATACACAAACGATCCTTCACTAATCATCGGGGGATCACCATAGTGGTTTCAAAATTTGTCTTTAATTATTTTACTTAAATTTTAAGCTGTTGGTAATCTTTTGGTAAAATTATCGACGTAGACTTGATACTTCTTACTTTATATAATGTGATGCAGAAATGAGGATGCATAGATGGAGTTGTCTGCGGACCAACTTTCATGTTTGTAAGGATTCCAAACGACGTCTATCGGTCGACACTTTGCATCCATCACAGTTCGGGTTAGAGAGGGATCAGAAAATTACGGTGGGTTGGCCACGTTTGCGGGAGATGGGGGATGTCTCTGGTGAGGAGGGTAGAAAATGTAGCGGTCAAGGGAGTAAGGATGAGTGGTAAGCCGAGTATATGACATCTGATAAGAGTTCTTGAAGACACACAATCATGTTGGTAAACTAGGGGCGTAGTCGGTTTAGGCCCCTAGACGGGAGGAAGGGAGCTAGTAAGGTAGATGATAGGTACAGGGTTAGATTTTTGGTCGCTTACCTCTAACTAGCATTTAATTATGCAACATCGTCTTTATTATTTTCAAGTTTTTTTTTTCTAGTGTCGTTTATGCTTTTTTTATATCTCCCATCACTACGCACAAATCAGTTAATTTTCACAGAAACATCTGCTCAACTCTTCTAAGTGGATTCAAATTTCCATACGTCCCAACCTCTACAAACCCTGCCTTTTGATAAGATTCACCCTTTACTGTCATCTACTTAAAAACTTTAGGGATTTAACTTGAGTTATTTAAATCACAAGGACTATTTCTGTAGTAAAGTCATAGTTAAAGGGTGTGATGTGCTCGTCTTATATTCACGGAAGTTGCAGAGCCGCATAGGGCTTTTTCCAGGACAAAAAATGAAAATTAAATAAGAGTAAATTACGATTTTCGTTTTTTTTTTTATAATTTTGATTTTCGTTTTTATAGTTTTAGAAAATTGTGATTTTTATTTTTATAGTTTACAATTTATTATTATTTTCGTTCTTAAACTAATTTTTATTTTTTAAGTAAAAATGACCAAAACAACAAAGAATTATAAGTCAAAAGGATAGAAATAACAATAAATTACAAATCATAGTAATAAAAACAACAATTTCTAAATCATAAGTAGGGGTGTTTGCGGTCCGGTTTGGACGGTTTAACTCTCCCAAACCACAAACCAAACAACAACAACGATTTAAGAAATTTCCAAAACGAGTGATTTGACAACAAGTAACCAAACTGTTCAAATAAGACCAGAAAAAGACGATCTGGTCTAACGATTTTGACGGTTTAGGCCTCTTATGGGCGTTAAATTTAAAAAACATATAAATTCTATCAATATAACGTTATTAAAAAGTTGGCTACCAAATTATAAACGATACGTCTATCTTTGTAACTAAAAAAATATACGTGTAAGTTGAAAAAAGTTTAAAAAAAACCCACTAATAATATTTGGAATTTTAGACAAACATTGGGCAAGTCAAATAAAGATTCAAAAATTTTGGATTTGATTTTTAACAAAGTACAGAATTTTACCAATTTCGATGACATGGTCAATTGAGAAATAAAAACTAAAAACAATATGTCTTGGACCAACCTTGTTTTAATTGTGACATAAAGTTGAGTTTATAACATAAATCTAAATATAATTAATATATGAATTTTTGGTAGTCGGTTCGGTCCAAACCGTTCCAAAAAATGTTCAAACCATAGACCTGACCGAACTGAAGGCTTGGTTATTTTTCAAGCCGGACTGAATCTCTAAAGCTCAAACCACAAAAAACGGTCTGGTTTGCTAGTACGACAGATTTTATGAACACCCCTAATCATAAGGACAAAAATAACAATTTTAACAAACCACAGGGACTAAAAACGTAATTTACTCATCAAATAAACATCCAGTTTGCAGTGACAGCGAGCCCTAAATGCTTCTCCTGCCTCTGCTCTCCGTTGCTGTCCCCGGTGAGTGATCCTCCTAGTAACATCACCGGAATTATCGTTTCTTTTTATTTATAGATGGATATTACTACTCTGTATTCCATCTCATCTTATGTTGATTTATGCTTACAGATTTGGATATTCTAGGGATCTTATGTGCGCGAATCTGTTTTCTTCGTTTAAACCTAAACTCTCGTAATTCGTATATACTTTGAATGCTTGCTATTGTATATTTGTATGTGAAACTGAATTATGGCTCATGAAACTTTGGCGATGATAGTCATTAAGGCTAAATTTCTTCACTCATAATATCACAATGACTGGGATGATAACATTATAGCATTGTTTTTCTAGACCTTTTGTTTTGTATACTAGTTTTCTCCAAAAAAATGCATATGGATTTTTGGTCCATATCACAAATGGATACCTAACATTTGTTCGTTCTATATTGTTGTAACTATGATTTGCTTAGCTTTAAATTTTACAAGAATCTTCAACAGTTTTTTGAATTGAAACGTCAACTGTTTGGTGTCAAATGTAAAAAAGCGTATCACTTTTTTGGATTGGAGGGAGTGTGGAGTTAGCATATGACATTACTGGTGTCTATGTTAGTTTTTTAATGGCATGTTGCTAACTGATGGTTAAAATGATTTTTTTTTTCTGGGGATCAATATTGTTAAGTTTGAACATTGTTCATCATTATCCTTTGGCAGTTCTTTTCACTGTCTTGAGCAACAATGTTGCTGTATGAGAAAACAAAAGAAAATAATGGGTTAGGATGATAGGTCTGCGCATGTCTAGAATCAACTTCTTTTCTTGCAAGTGCTCCACTTGTCAGTCAGGCTTTTGCTTAATTCATATGATCTCTTGATGCAAGTTGTTATACTGATCGTTGTTAAAGAAATATGGATCATTCAGATTTCAGACAATCTATCATCTGAGTTGGAATTATCAGTAGGTTGTTCATTGTTGTGTGTTCTTCAACTATGTGTCAATATATATTCTGTGGCCCCTGTCTGTAGATTAGGGGTAGCTGACTAGTTAGTTGTAAATGTTTTGCTTCAGTCAAACTTTGTCCATTCCCAAAAGATATTGCTTTATTAATTTAAATTAACTTATTTGCAAGTATCTTTGTAACAATTTTGCACATGATGATATACAAGTTAACAAACTGATATTTTATCCAGTCGTAAAGAATTTTGGGCAAATTTAGGAATATCAAAATTTATCTCAATAATCGAATTTGAAATAACTTATCTGTAAGGTAGGCAGCATTTGTTAGGTGAAGGGTGATTTTATGATATTGCAAGCAATGCATTATGTATTGTTGCACGTCGTTCATCTTTAGCATTGCGCTTGGATTGAAGTATAATTTAATTTCTAGCACTCTAGCTTATCAGTATATCACATGCCACAATCCCTTTACCCTTGTAATATCATTTGGTTTCCATTAATCTTTTTAATTTGGTTTTCTATTCTTTCTTTGTGATGATGATTACTTATTATGTATCAATGGCATGCTTCCAGATCAGGGATTATATATTGTTTAACAACCATAAGAATGGCTAATAGAGCAGATTCAGACATTGATGATGATTTTAGCGAACTCTACAAGGAATACACTGGTCCCCCAAGATCTACTACCACTGGTGTGCCTGAAACCGCAAAAACAAGCAAAAGGTCCCATGCTGGTTCAGATGAAGAAGAGGAACCCCTAGATCCTAATGCCGTCCCCACTGACTTTACTAGTCGTGAAGCTAAGGTTTGGGAGGCAAAATCTAAAGCTACTGAAAGGAACTGGAAGAAAAGAAAGGAAGAAGAAATGGTTTGTAAAATATGTGGAGAATCCAGTCACTTTACCCAGGTATTTAATGCCATTATCTTAAATAGGTTTCAGTTTGTCTGATCGGTTGCTGAAAGTTGTTGTCACATACATAAGGCAGGGCCTGGCTTGAGTTGTTACTGGCATTGCACTTTCTCTAAATGTGTGGGCCTTCCATTTCAGTTATAACAAAAAGTTCAGGAAGAGGGAGACATCCAAGCATAAGTATCAAGAAACCATTTCTTGAAACTTATGGGATATAAGCGTCCATATAGGGTAATAAATCTTGAAGTACTTCCACCTCTATGGTAATAGTAAGTCATCAGATGTGTCTGGTCCACTTCTTTCATATTCACATTTACAATTTAAGGGTGGCAGAACACTATGACATTGGCTATGCTTTTGTGAGATAGCATTGCTAAACAATTCCAATGATGCATCTCATGTATTGCTTTCACATACAGTTATGATGATCTTGCAATGCTAGAAGGCTGTTAGGAAATACCATTGGTAGCACAATTATTATTAAATGTGTCATCAATAACTTCTTAATGCTTGAAGAGTGTTATTCTGTGATATTCTTTTTCAAAATAACATTTGGTTCTAGTTATTTCAAATTTTCTTTTGTGTGCTTTTGGGTTCTAAAAAACTAATTTACATGAGAATTCATTTTTGGTGTTCAATGTACCATTTGGTTATCATAGGGTTGTCCGTCTACTCTTGGGGCTAGTCGGAAGTCTCAAGAATTATTTGAAAGGGTTCCTGCAAGAGATCCTCAAGTAAAAGCACTTTTCAGTGACAGGGTTATTAGGAACATTGAGAAGGATGTTGGGTGCAAAATTAGAATGGAGGAGAAATTTATAATTGTTAGTGGCAAGGACGGACAGATATTGTCCAAGGGTGTGGATGCTGTTCACAGAATTAAGAATGAGGGTGACAAAAAAGGTGAATCCATTTCCAATGCCAATGCGGACAAGTCCAGTTTACCAAAAGGGAGAAGTCCTGTTGCCTCCAGAATGGGACGCTCTGATTCTCAGAAGTCCATCCCTAGTCCAAGAAATCCTTCACGCTATAACCAGAGGTCTGGCAGACAAGACAAGATCACTGAAGAGCATGTGCGTGAGGAATTTCAGAAGTACCCAAAGGGATCCCCACAAGGTAGGAATAACATAGGGTTAGATGTGCCGCCTGTGTATAGATGCAAAATCATGCTTTTAGCTTATGCATACTCCCTTTTGATCCTTCTGTAGTTCTTAGTTCTTCATTAGTGAAAATTCTATTTATGGCCTCAAATTACATAATAACTTTGCTTCTTGCTTGTTCTTTTATTTGCAGTCAGAGGTAAGTTCATATGTTCAAGAATTATGTGTTGGATTCTGAAGTAAATTTCTGGGTGGGTCTGAATTGAACCCGATTGTCTTCATGAAAGCATATCCTAGACTCCTTTGCTACCGATGGGTTCTCTATGAGAGTTTAAGTTAGTCTGTGTAGTTAACGATGTGTTCGTTGTCTGGCATCTTGAATCAAAGTGTTTAATACGCTCTTCATTTGATGAAGCTTATGGGAATGATGGAGGCCGGAGCAGATCAACACATTCGAAATCTCCTGCTCGCCCACCATACACTGGTGGTTCATGTAGCTTAAATGATAATCACAGCCAGAATAGGGCTGTGCACCGAAATGAAAGACGCGATGCAGACAAACGTGGACCTGATTTGCAGTCTACCCATAAGGGAGGCTATTCTACCTTCTCTCAGACTTTGGAGGAACTAGAGCTGGAGTATAAGAGCGATGCAATGGATATTGCAAAAATTCGAGATAAGGAAGAAGATGAAGAAAATTACAGGCATCGTGAGGTATGCCATTCTCGTAGATTCTCATTTTTTGTACTTGATGTGTTTTTGTTTATTCCTGCTATTTATTGGACTACAAACATTCGAATGATCCTTCAAAACTAAATCTCGTATTCCCCTTGCCTTTTAAGGTATTACACTTTCTCCCTCTCCTGTACATTCTTCGAAAGGGGAAAATGGGTGATAACTTTTTCCCTGTGTGTAACAGGCTGTTAAGGAAATTAGGGAAAGTTACACGAAGAGGTTGGCTATGTTGCGCGAAATGCATGCAAAGCAGTGGGAAGAGTTTCTTCAACTCGACGTCCAAAGAAGGCGGCAACAAGCCTGTCAGCAAATGCCTACTTCAGAGTTTGTTGGTTATAAGCATAATAACAATTATTATGAGTATGGTAATACTTCCGGAAATCCGTATACTAACAATATGCCAATGGAGTCAAGAGTAAGGTATCCAGAACTTGACAACTATTCTTCTTTGAGGTCCAACAACAGTTATGACGAGTTTCAACGCCAAAGGCACGAGGATTATGGGGAGACATATAATCGATATTAGATCATATATATTAGGAAATCTGGTGAGTCGTCTTACTCTTTGATCATAGCTAGCATGTGTAAATATTACTTCATTTGTATCTCTTGGTCGAACAAGCATTTATTCATGTACCATGGTGCATGGTATATGTTTCACCAATTATGGGTCCTTGAGCGATTCAGAACTTAGAAAAAAAAATCATCTTTCAGTGGCTTAGTTAAATTTTGACTTGCAAATTTTCAGGGGCCATTGCAGGTTGGGATTGGGAAGGCAGAGTCTAGGTAAGTATCACAATCTAGCTTTTCTTTGGTTATTTATGAACTTGTTGCTACTTTTTTTTTTCTGTTCTCCTTGTTTTAGGACGTGATTGTTGTTGAAATCGATGGAACATGACTTTGTTTTGCCTTTAGATTTTAGATTTGGAGTTAAATCTTCCAATTTGGTGAATATTAATTTGATGCTTCTTGATAGTATCTTTAAGGTACTAAAATACTAATGTTGGTTATTGGGCATAAATTTGATTTGCAAAGAAGCATCTTAGTGGCCGTTTATCAAATGCTTATCGAAAAGAGTTGTCATCGTTACTTATCTTGTTTGGTAACATTCTTGGTCATCAAAATGGATTGTTTGTAAGTGCTAACTAGGTAAGGGGCTGGTTGGTTGGTTTTTATTTAAGTCCTACATGAATAAAGTTGTTTGTATAGGTTGGGAAGGTTTAATCATAGATAGGAGTGTGCTTTTTAATTGGGAGGGACAGGTTTTGAAAAAACTTGGTTTTCTACATAAAGCTCTCTCTAGAAGCTTACTGGATAATCCACTTTATATAGATTTAAACCACTATCAAATAGTCATATATTGTTGACCGAATAAGTTCTTAGTCCCATTAAGTTCATTAAAGGGGTGTTTGGAATTTGCTTATTTGAAACAATTATTGTTTTTCTATAAAAGTACTTATCAACTTATTATAAATCAGAAGGGTTTAACTTTTTCAAAAACTCCTTATTATCGGTTTGGTACCGGTGTAAGTTGTTTATCCAAACACTCAAAAGTGCTTATTACCGGTGCCACACCGGAATAAATCAATAAGTTGTTTTTATAAGCAATCCCAAACACCCCCCAAGTTGCTAACAAAAAGGTGCAAGAGTCTTCTCCCTCACCGGGTAAGAACCTCGTTTGTTACTGGTAAGCATTTGGTAAACGCTCCTTAACCCTCCCATGTGAAGACCAAACTGCTGTCGGTGCGAAAAATGTTATGTCCTACCAATCACGTAAGGATGCATAATTGTTTTATTTAGTTGGTATTTTTATTTTGTCTTTGTTGAAGTGTATTCACGTAATTGGTGGAGACTGGAGAGGGAGTGTTTGATATTTTAATGATTTTTGCTTTTGGATTGAAAAGAATGGTTGTGGTATGGTAATGGTTTGAAAAGTATTTATCTAGTTTGATTACTAGTGTTGGTTTAAGGGGTTATTTAGAAGTTGTTGAATGGTTTGGTGTAGAATGATTAAGAGACTTTTATGATATAGTGTAAAATAAAATATAATTATTTGGTAATTGTTTACAATGAAATCAGGGCGCTTAATGGTTAAGGGAAATTCATGATACAAAATCATTCAAAGGGTTTTAAAACCATTAAGAGGCAAATTTTTTTTTTGCCAAACAAGATTTACTTCTTAATGATTCAAATGTTGCCTCTTAATGAAACTATTAAGAGGTAAACAAACAACCCCTAAATTCAAAGGGTTAAAATGGAAGGCATCAAGAAAGTAAGGTGGCATTTTGGTTAGATTAAATCCAAAGTAATTGGAATGATCAAATTCTATTTGTTCAAATTTCATGTGTTTAGTTCATTCTACGAGTTTTAGTGTCTAATTTCAATTCCATATGTGATATAAATTTAGATTCCTTGGGTTTTCGTAAGTAACTCAAACCCCATTTCATTTAATCTTTAAAAAAAGATTATTATGCTTTTATATTTACTCTAATCTATTTCATTTTATCACGATCATCATCTGCCATTGCCATCACCATCACCGCTACCATGTCACCACCTGATTAAATTTAGTGAACCAAAGAAACATATTTTATTTAAATTATAGTCAACTAAACGCTTGCATTTTCATATTAAAAAGTCAATTAGATATAATTATAAAAAAGTAAAATGAAAGCATTGATTTGTTCAGAAAGAAGGGGGAAGAAGCAGCACAGAAAGAACATGGACGTCGGCAATTAGAAGGAGAAGTAGAACGAGTAAATAAAAGAAAAGACGGTTGGAACTTGGAACCACACATTGGGAAATTACATCGGGAATCACAAAGTTTCCGTTTCTGTAACACGTTGGAACTTGGAACCACACGTTGGCAATTCAAATATGTTGATTTCCAAATACCGTTGGAAATCTGCAATCATGGCTTAGCTCTCTAATTTAATGATTGAACTCTAACGACCCCTATTCATCTTTGTTTTCCTAGTCGTGAATTTTTATAAACGAGTGTAGTTAATCTTCCTCTTTCTTGTTATTCGTTTCTTCCTTTCTTGTTCGACGAGATTTGAACGACCCGACCCTGTTAAAAATACATAACATGACATATAAGATCAATTGAAAAGGAGTTTGAACTCTTCTCAACCATTTAGATTGATACGTTTAGGTATATAGTTCAAGTTTGAGTTTGAAGATTTCTCTTTAATTAGGTCTTCATAAACGAGTTGTTCGCAATAAATATTTGAAGGCTTCTGAATCATGTGGTTCATACCTTACTACGTACCTTAATCTTGCAGAAACAAGTGGATGACAACATTAATTATGAAAGAAAATTCAAACTTAATATCTATTACATTCTTATGTTTGAGTAAACTTGGGAGCATAGATGGCAAAAATGAAACCGCTTTTCCACGTATAACACGATACTTGTATCTGGTTTGATCGGGAATAGGGACTAGGACGGCTATACGGGGAATCCTCAATTTGAAACTGGAACCCTCATCCTAGAATCCGATATATATAGGGTTTAAACGAAAACACCTTTGTTTTACGAAATTGTGAAAACACTCTTTTACTATAGTCAACCACATGTGATACGGAGGTGTCATATGTTGTCGGTAATCCGCCCACACACCACCAGGTCTACACACGTGTATTTCCACATGTGATGAAGGTATTTTACATTTTTCATAAAATGAAAGTGTTTTTGTTTGAACCTCCGACTATATATAATAAAAATTAATGGTTTTAACTTTTAAGTATTAAACATTTTATCAACTAATATATTTATGGAAAAAAAAAAGATAATAATATTTGATCTACAAGGGAGAGGGATGCAATCATATTCCCCACATCGGTTGGGATGAGAACAAAAATTGTCTTATACATGACTAGATACCTCCTCTATCAGATATGTTTTAAAAACGTAAGTACATGCATGGACAAAACAAACAATCACTACAAAACAAATGATTTTTACCCATAACAATGACCTGGGGAAATTTCCGTCGGTGATTACTGATGGATTTTTCAGAAAATACCAATGGTTCGGCATAATCCCATGTTTTTTGAGACAATACCAATGGATCACTCAGAGAACCTTTGGGTAATATGTCATTGATTTGAACTACCCATCAATTTCTGTGACGGTTTTGTGAAGAAACATGCTTTTAGCGACAAATTTCTCAGAGAAAAATCCATAGGTAAAAGTTTTTCATTTAGCAGTGAATATCTTGTACGGTTAGTCTGAGATGTTACACCCAAAGTGGATATGGGCAGTGATGGGGATCAAGGACGGGGATGAGGATCCCCGACGCTGTTGCCGTCAATCTCTACTTGGGAGAGGGTTGCTTGACACATATCTTTTTGTTTTTAAAAAATAGTTTCACACTTACGAGAAATATATGTTGAAATTAAAAGGTTCAAGGGATGATAATAGAAATATTGATGTATAGTGGTTTTATGGTGATGATTTTAGTGAATATCATGTCATTTTATGCAGTTAGATAATGATCGAGTTTGTAGTTAAGCGATAATATTGGTTCAAATATGCAAAATGCACACATATATAAGTTTCCTAGAATAAGGGGTCACCATATGACGAAGGTTGAAGGAGGCCCCTGCAGGGGTCCTAGGGGCAGCTTCCTTGACAGTGCTCACATAACCTAAACGATATGCATTAAATGTTATTCAAAAGCAATTTTCAAAAAGCCACACTTTTTTGAAAATGCTACGTTTAAGTTTAGTTCAGAAAGTCATATGCAATCTGAAATTTCTAAGTCTTCACATTTCAGAAGGCTTCGTTCATTTTATAACCGCCCAATTATTGTTAATTTAATTCTAGTAAGTCGACCTTTTAGATGAGCATTCATTTTTGGCCTTAATATAGAGGACCTTACCACCTTTTTGTGTTTATAAGCTTTTGATTTACGTCAAAATCGAGTTTATGAATTAAGATCATCTACGACTTATGTGTAAAAATTACACGTGATTATCTGCGACTTATATCGCGGGCCAAGTCATCCGTACACCCATGCATTAACAGGATTTCGATGCAAAATCACATGTGATTCAACTGTTGTTATGTTTTGTTATTTTAATGTTCTTTTTATCTGATCTTCCCTTTTAAGGAAACATTGATAAGTAACTGAAAAGCGTAACCACTATTAATGTTATGTTGGTCCAATTAATAACGTCTAAATTAATCATTTTATTAATTTGAAACTCATTTTAATTAATTTCCATACGATAAAACGTATATTTCTCTTGCAAGTTATTGCTATGAAAAGTCAAACGCGCCAATTTCAATCATTTAAATGAATTAATTACTACTTTACTTTTTCAAAAATATTCCATAATCATTAAATGACATCACCAAAACACGGTGGTACATCGCGACGTCGTTTTCTTAGTTGCTACTTTCTTATCAAGGCAGACAGACCTATGCAACGGTATACCTTGTCCTATGCTACTGCTTCATTAAAAACGTGTCTTAATACTCAATTTTTTCTGAACATTATTTGCTTTACAATGTGTTTGCTTGCTTCATATGTATATGGTTTACAATGTGAAACTTTTTATGTGTGACTTTTTTGTTTCACAAACAAGTTAAAACGATTCACATTGTGAAACAAACACATTATGAAATAAATATATGTTAATCGATATTCTAAATTGTAGCCGTAGATGAAAAAGATCATATGATATATCACATAATTCAATCGATATCATCGTATAATTACTTGGTGTACATCTGAATTTCAATCGATACCATTGTATAATTACTAAGTTATAATAAATTCAAAACAAATAAAAACGGCGCCTAAAAGTAGGGTCGTGGGAGGAAGATTTATCCAAAAAAAATAAAAGGACCCTTCAGTTAATCTATACTATATTATAAAGCATTTGACAAAAACTCTTAAAAACTATTTTTTATGCATGAAATACTGTATATTGATGCATATTACTTAAAATTCAAGATTACAAGTAAATTATGCACAAGTACAACTTATTAAAGCTTCATATTTGAATTCGTGTAACTAACTGCAGATAAATATAATCAAATAGAGGATAAACATCTCATTTTAAAATGTAATAAATTTAAAATATAATTAGGATAACTATCAAATTTTAACAAAATAATTAATTATTATCATTATAAGAAAATTATATTATTAAACCAAAGATAAATTATTTCATTATTGAACCTAAATTAAATTACAATAAAAAATTTGAATTAAAAATTACACAAAAAATGAGGATTTTAAATAGTTAATTTGATGCTAATATCGAGATATTTTTGTCAAAATTTTATGATATCTTCAAATTTATATTTTATTAAAAAATAAAAACATTATCGCTTTTTCAAAATCACATAAGACCATATTATAACATCGACTGAAATAAAGAATAAAATGAAATATTAAAATCAATATGTATTTCGCTACATTGCGCTAGTATCCTTCTAATATATTAAAATATATCTGACATCCTGTACGCAAAGTCAAGATTTTGTTGTGATGACATAGGGTCTGAAAGGCAAGTGCATCCTCGATGTAAGGTTCATATAGGTAAAGAAGTAAAGGTCTTATAAGTCACTACCATATAGATGGTTCTTATAAGAAAAAGTGTAACACTTACAAGTCATCAAACATGATTTGAGTTCTTGTATAATAACATTGATTCTTACCTCGATTTTTTTATTAATTTATATATATATATATATGTAACAATTTACCCTGTAAGAGCTGATCACGGTAAGAGTCATTGCCCTCACTTGCCGGGTAAAACTCTCGGTCCTTGCCTAGCTTTTACCGGGTAAGATTCTTGGTTCTTGTCATATTCATCCGGTAAGGTAATGTAACTTGGTAAACGCTTACCCAAGTAAGCATTTGGTAAACGGCCCCTAAGTGTTTTTTCTTAGGGTGATGATGAAGAAGATCTGAAAAGGTTACATATATAATTAAGAGAGAAAATTGGCGATTAAGTTAGACCTGACCTGGTCCATATATTTAATTTTCTTGTTGCCAAATACTAATTCTAGATGTCAACCATTGCATTCCAGTTTCCAGCTCATGCTCTTATATTTATGAGGGAGAGTGTCAAATTCGTTAAATATGGGAGATGCAAGCCCTTTTTATCAACTCCACCACCATAAATATACCTCCATTTTCCTCCATAGCCTCCATCACAAATATGGTTTTCAAGGCTTTACCTTACAGTACTCTCAAGCTTGTTCTCTTCATCTCTCGTCTTCTTCTCAGACTCCATAAAAACCATACGAAAGCTCTCAAGAGAACCCTTAGCAACACCCATGCATCTCATTTCAAACCACAAACTCCATTTTCACTCGCTGATCAATCCGATCTTTCACAAAAGACGTTGATCTTCGATGTCGAAGGAACCCTCTTGAGATCTTCGTCTGTGTTTCCGTATTTTATGTTGGTTGCGTTCGAAGCCGGGAGCCTAATTAGGGCTTTTGTGCTCTTCACTCTATACCCACTTCTTTGTTTGGTTAGTGACGAGTTGTCTCTCAAGATTATGGTCATGGTTTGCTTTTTTGGCATAAAGAAAGATAGCTTTCGAGTTGGAAGCTCCGTTTTGCCGAAGTTTTTCTTGGAAGATGTTGGGTTGGAGGGTTTCAATGTGTTGAGAAGAGGAGGAAAGAAAGTTGGTGTTAGCAAGTTGCCACAAGTCATGGTTGAAGGTTTCTTGAAAGATTATTTGGAGATTGATTTTGTTTTTGGAAGAGATCTCATTGTTTATGGTGGGTATTTTGTGGGTCTCATGAAACAAAACAAAAACCACATTAAACATCGTTTAAATGATGTATTAGATGAAGAAGAACCCAAGGTTTGCTTCTCGAACAGGTCCATTAAGCACGATTGGATCTCCTGTAGCAAGGTGATTACTTATAAACACCCTTGATAACCTCATCTGGACATATATGATATGCATATGTATATATATATATATATATATATATATTGGAAGTTGAATGATTTGTTTATGTTTTCACAGGAAGTTTATTTAACTAGCGATGGAGAAAAGATGGCATATCAAGCTCTCCCAAGAGGAAGATATCCAAAACCTCTAATCTTTCATGATGGAAGATTAGCCTTTAGACCCGAGCCACTAAGTATGCTAGTCATGTTCATGTGGTTCCCATTCGCGATGGTTCTAACCATTTTCCGAGCCATCATTGCAATCTTCTTACCCTATGGTGCATTGACCCCGATCCTATCCTTCACCGGTATGCAACTCAGGCTCTCCAACAATAACTCGACTAAAAACTCCATTAATGATCATAAACAACACAAGGGCCTTCTGTATGTATGTAACCATCGAACATTACTCGATCCATTATACCTCTCTTTTGGCCTCAAGAAACCCTTTGCTGCAGTCACATACAGTCTGAGCCGAATGTCCGAAATCATATCACCAATTAGAACCGTTAGATTGACAAGAGATAGAGAGCAGGATGCTAAAACGATGGATAAGATGTTAAAGCAAGGAGACCTGGTCGTCTGTCCAGAAGGTACAACTTGTAGGGAGCCATATCTGTTGAGATTCAGCCCTTTATTTGCAGAGCTGAGTGATCGTATCGTTCCAGTGGCTTTGGATACTCACGTTAGCATGTTTTATGGGACAACAGCCGGTGGATTGAAATGCTTAGATCCGTTTTTGTTTATGATGAATCCAAACCCAGTTTATAGAGTTCGATTTCTGGAGATGGTGAGTGGTGTTTCATCATCAACATCATATGGTGATGGGAAGTCTGCAAGTTTCGATGTTGCAAATTATGTGCAAAACGAGATTGGGAAGACAGTGGAGTTTGAATGCACGAGCTTAACGAGAAAAGATAAGTATCTGGTGTTGGCCGGAAACGAAGGGATTGTGAATTCTGCATGTAACAAAAGATGATCGGCCGGTGATGAAAGATTGATGGAATATATATATATATATATATATATATATGTATATGTAGTGTACACCATGCACCAATTAATTTGTATTGGTTGTTCTTTAAAAGCGCTAGTTGTATATATATGTTTATATGCTCGTTAATATTTTTTTTTATTTGGATTTTTTACAGGATTGATAATAAAAATCGAAACATATTGTTTTTTATTGGATGGTGAATTAATACATGTTAATTAATGTATTTTTAATATTTAAATTTATTACAAATTAAATTCTGTTAAAAAGACAATTTTATAGCCAATCAAATCTATTTTTATAACAAAATTAAAAAAATATAATTAATAAATATTGTTTAAATCCTATACCTACATTACAATCACAAGCTTATTACAAATGAATTTATTCGATTATCAAGTCTACTAAGGGCATGGATATTATTATTTAGGATATTTTAAATTTTGTATATCGAGTATATCAATGCTGAAGATTTGTTGTTTGATATCCAGCTTGCTTCCTTCGCTTGGTTGTCTCGCAGAACTAAAGGCATTGCTGGCCGGTGGGCTCTGTGATGTAGTAACATGTCTATTGTTTTTCTGTTAGTCGGGTATGCTTGATATATTTATGTGTCGACTCGTGTTATATATATGTATACATGATGTGTATATATGTGTGTTAGTTGCTAACAACGATTTGATCTACATATGTATATACGATGTGTATATATATATGTGTGTGTGTGTGTCGCCCCGTGTTATATACATATGTATACACGATGTGTAGATATGTGTGTTAATTGCTAACAACGATTGGATCTATATGTATATATTGTTGAAGATACATGTATTATATGATGTATAAATGTTGTATATATGTTTATATGTATGTGTATATGTGAATGTATAAATAATATATGTGTGTTATTTGAGCTTTAATGGGTTATATTGAGCTTTAATGAGTCTTAGTGAACTATAATAGATCTATTAGGCTTTATTCCCTTCTATTGGGTTTTATTCGATTTTATTGGCTTTAAAGGGTTCATTGGTTTTTATTCGGTTTTAATGAGTTATATTTGACTTTAAAGGATTTCATTGGGTTTTATTCGGTTTTATTGAGTTTTAATCCATTTTATTGAGTTTTATTTGGTTTTATTGAGCTTTAATCCATTTTATTGAGCTTTATTCGGTTTTATTGGACCATAATGGGATTTGTTCGATTTAATTGGACCTTAATCCATTTTATTGTGTTTTATTCAGTTTTATTGGGTCTTAGTGGACTTTATTCAGTTTTATTGGGCCTTGATGGCTTTATGAGATTTTATTGGGCCTTAATAGGTTTTATTGAGTTTTAATGGGTTATATTGACTTTATTCGACTTTATTGAGTCTTAAATAGTTTTATTAGGTTTTTTTTTTCAATTTTATTGGTCATTAATCAATTTTATTGGGTCTTAATGAGTTTTATTTGGTTTTATTGAACTTTATCCATTTTATTGAGCTTTAATGGATTTATTGAGCTTTATTTGATTTTATTGGGCCTTAATGGGCTTTATTTGACTTTATTTAGCTTTAATTCGTTTAATCAGTTTTATTAGGCATTGATCCATTTTATTGGGCTTTATTCGGTTTTATCAGGTCTTAATCCAATTTTATTGAGTTTTATTCGGTTTTATTGGGCCTTAATGAGTTTTATTCTGTTTTAATGGACCTTCTTCAATATTTTTGGGTTTTAGTGGGTTATATTGGGTTTTATTCGGTTTTATCGGATCTTATCTATTTTATTGGGCTTTATTCGTTTTTATAGAACTTTAGTCCATTTTATTGGTTTTATAAGGCATTAATCAATTTTATTGAGTTTTAATTAAGTTTTATTGGATCTTAATGGACTTTATTGGTCTTTATTTGGTTTAATTGAACCTTAATTTGAGACTTAATGGACTGAGTTATAATGGATTATATTGGGTTTTAATTATTTTTTATTTTATTAATTATCAATTAATTTTTATACTATATTATTAAATAATTAATAATTAATAATTAACTTTTTAAGTTAGTGATAAGCATGTGAAAAGGATTTTGATTCGTAGACTTTAAATATTAATTACGACCCAAAGGATGATAAGTCAAACCCGACCAAGCAAGTCAAAATAAATGCATCGAAAAACTTTCCATGCCTCGAATTATATTTTATTTATAAAAAAAAAGTGAATTAAACATTTGGTATATACTTTAAAATCACCTATTTATATCGATGGTCCATACAACATGATTGGAACAAGTTTCGACAAATTACACGACGCGTGTTTGTTCGTTTGGGTCAATGCGTGGTTCCGACAATTTTTTGGCACGGTAACGTCTTTTTTCAAGATCTTTATGGTGGAAAACATCTCATTTGTATTGTAGATGGACTATGAAAATTTTCATGACAATTTGGCACGGTCGGTTCGAACGAGAAAAAACCCAACGGTACCCCTTTGGTATAGGACGAAAATAAGTGTTAACGTTTAAACGTGCATAACTTTTGCTACAAGACTTCGTTTTAGACTCATGATCTGTCAAATCAAAGCTTGTAACAAGGAGCAGGAATGAGTAGGAAGTTTTGTGGTAATGCACCATGATTTGAGTGGGTTTCAATGAACTGAACGATGCATTCGTTCAGTTTAGCCAATGTTTGGCTCCGTCAATTTCCGACACGAAAACAGTCCTTTTCCAGTTCTTTTTGGAGAAAAACTTCTAATTAACATTGAATATGAACCATGGAAATTCTCATGTCAATTTGGTACAGTTGGCCCGAATGAGAAAAAGCCAAGGGTATACCGTTGGTTTATCAGCCAAAAACGGGTGTTGCGTTTAAACGTGCATAACTTTTGCTACATGACTCCGTTTTAGGCTCATGACCAGTCAAATGGAAGCTTGAAATGAGGAGCACACTGTTGCAGGAAGTTTTGTGGTTATACAACATGATTTATGTGAATTTCGATGAACTGCTGGATGCGCGTTCGTTCGATTTGGCCAATGCATGGCTCCGACAATTTCCGACGAGAACGGTTTTTTTTCAAGTTCTTTTTTATGGAGAACTCCTCACTGAAAATTGAAGATGAACCATGAAAATTTTCATGGCAATCCGGCACGGTCGGTCCCGAGGAGAAAATCCAAGTCTATACCCTTTGTCTATCGGCAAAAAATAAGTGTCGCTCTTAAACGTGTATAACTTTTACTGTAAGACTTTATTTTAGGCCCATGACCAGTCAAATTGAAGTTTGGAACTAAAATATGCCATGGGTAGGAATATTTGCGGTAATACATCATGATTTGGGTGGATTTCAACGAACTGCACAATGCTCATTTGTTCAATTTAGCCAACGCATGGCTTCGTCAATTTTCGACATAGGTGTGTTTTTTTTTTTCAAAAAAAAATCGGTGAAAAACTTCTCATTAACAATGTAGATGGCCTATGGAAATTTTTTAGACAATATATCATGGTTGGTCCGGATTATAAAAATCCAAGGCGTATCCTTGGTGTATCGGTTAAAAATCGGTGTCGCGTTTAAACGTACATAACTTTTACAGCAGTACTTTGTTTCATGACCAGTCAAATCGAATCTTGAAACGAGGAGCACTCCATGGGTAGGAATTTTTATGGTAATACAACACCATTTAAGTGGTTTCTATGGATTGTATGAAGCGCGTTCATTCGATTTGGCCAAGGCGTGACTCCGGTAATTTCCAACACAAGAATGGTTTTTTCAAGTTTTTTATGAAGAAAAACTTCTCAATAACATTGTAGATGGCCTACAAAAATTTTCATGGAAATCCGGCATGGTCGGTTCGAACGAGAAAAACCTAAGGGTATAGCATTGGTGTATTAGCCAAAAATGGGTGTCACGTTTAAACATGCATAGTTTTTGTTACGAGACTCCGTTTTACGCTCATGACTAGTCAAATTGATGTTTGGAACGAGGATCACACCATGGATAGGAATTTTTGTGGTAATACAACTTGATTTGAGTCAGTTTCGACGAATTTCACGACTAGTGTTCATTCGATTTGGACAGTGTGTGGCTTCGACAATTTCTTGCACGAGAACGATTTTTTTCAAGTTTTTTCTAGTATAAAACTTCTCGTTAACATTTCATATGGTCCAAGGTAATTTTCATAGCAGTTCAACATGGTCGGTCCATAAGAGAAAAACTCAAGGGTATACCCTTGGCATATATGTCAAAAATAGGTGATGTGCTTATCGAAGCTCGGAACGCGAAACACACTATGGATAAGAAGTTTATGTTAATACAACATGATTTGACTAGGTTTTGACGAACTGCACGACCCACGTTTGTTTGATTTGGAGCACGCGTGGCAAATTCGTACCAAATTAAACCAGACAATATGTGTATCAGTCATACCAATTAAATCGGTACCAATTATAATTGGTTGGCAATATTGTACCAAGTGTCTGGACTTAGTTGGTACATGGTTTTTAACGTGGTGTACCATGGTAGTATCGTCGTACCGACTTATTTAATAATTTAATTAATCAATAATTTTCTTATTTTGGGTTTTAAAAATTGAAATAAAAAGTTTTCAATTTTTTTATTATTCACCTTTATTGTCTAAACCACGTGATCTAAATTCTAACATTAAACTCCTTACTTGATCTATCATTCTCCAATCTTCCTCATCGACACTAAATACAATTGGTTGGTGCATGGTATAGGGTCTCGCATACTAATTATAATTGGTTGGTACACGGTATTGGCAGAAAAATAGGTACCGTACCAAGTCCACACTTATTTTGGAGCGAAAGTTGCTAATATTTTGGTGCTACAGAAACAGTCGCAACATGGGACAATTGTCAATAACGTGGACTTCATAATCTTTTTGAAAAGTATTGATTCATTGGTGAATTGCATTTATATCAGTTGAATAATGGAGCATCTTCAGGAAAATAACAATAATGAATAAGCATCATTTTATTTAAGAAATCTTTATAACATATCAGGTCAAC